GGTTCCACCTCACTTGTCAGAGGGAGCAGTTGGTGTTGGGTGAGGAAGGCTGCCCGGCAAGGCGGCCTTTACTGGCCCTGAAAGAAGCCACACAGGAGCAGGTTTTCACTCCCTTCTGAGCCCTCTTTGTGCTGGTGCAGGACCAGCCTGGTACTTGCATGGCTGGAGGGGGCTGCCAGCCAGCCCCAGGCTCTGCGAGTGAATGGCAGCGGCAGCGTCTGATTTAAATAATGGTAGTACAGGGAATAGCTTTTAAATGGTTATCGTAAAACATATGATTAACGTCTGTGGACTGTTTACTTTTCTTCTGCGAACATTCTTTCAAGTGTGCAAATGGCTCGGTGTAGGGTCCAAGCCCAGCTAATCTGTTTGAGAGAAAGCAATGTCTGCATGAAAATGTCACCCAGGGAGACTTCATTTACAGATTAAAAGCTTCCTGCATGATTTTTTTAAAAAATGAAATAGTTTTTATCCATGAACCCGCAGCTCGTTCCCTTCCATGTTCTGTTGTGACTCTGCGATGCTGCGCACTTGGTTTCCCACCTCAACTGTTCAGAGGAGCTGTCTGTCAGAGTTGCTCCCAGCACTCCGCTTCCTGGGACTTGGTTGCAGGGTGTGCTCCTGTGCAGCCTGGCAGAGTGCTGTGGCGCCCACCTTCAGCACTCACTCCTGTGTGCCTCGGGAGGGCCCGATGCACGGCCTTGATGCACGGTACCTATCAGCAGATAGGATGAGGGCCTACAGCCCCTCAGGAGCAAGGCCCAGAGCTGAGCATGCCGGGCCTCCAGCAGCTCTGTCTGTTCAGTTCTGACTCTCCTGGGCACGGGACACCAGTGGCATCTGGTAGTTCCTGCAGCAGATTGTCTCCATAGAGGTGCTGCCATTCTAGAGGGGTGACTTCTTTTAAAAGAAATCAGAGTAACCTTTCCTCGCCATAGCTCAAAAGATGCTGTAAATCAGAGGAGGAACTGTCCGCAGGTAAGTCAGAATTAAAAGGGCAAAAGGACCCATTCTGAGGGCAGAGTTAGTGTAACTTTGTTCACCTGCTATGTGCGAGGCTCTTTAGATGTTTTTTTTTTTAATTGCATGGAGTCACATAAGGCTGAAATGATCAAGGTGACATTTGCTAAATCTGATTTGAGCCACTCTACCAGTCCCTCTAGAATGAGATAATTGTTTAAACTTAGACTATTAGAAAATGAGACAAATCCTAGTGACGTTCTGCCATCAGAATCATGAATGACCTCATGCTAGGGTTCCGAAGAGATGCCACTCTGCCTCCTTTTCCTGTCCCCATCTCTAGCTCTTGCTCCTCCCTCCCCTCCCTCGCCTGTACCTAAAACACTGCATCTTCTCTCAGGAATCCCACGGCCTCCGCACCCTCCAGACATATCTCCGTATTACCCGCTATCGCCTGGCACCGTAGGACAAATCCCCCATCCGCTAGGATGGTTAGTACCACAGTAAGGAGTTCCATTTTTTTAATTTCCTTTTTGTTTCTTACATGGGCATGTTTATTATTTAGTCTCTGTGTGTGTGTGTGTGTGTGTGTGTGTGTGTGTGTGTGTGTGTGTGTGTCAGAAGGACAGGGTTGGTGGGAGGCCATGGGGAAGATGTTCCATGAGAACACAGGAGAATGAGAACCCTTCAGATAGGTTTGTAGAAAAGGGATGTGGAGACTTGACCTTCTGAACCCACAGTCCCCAGAGGCCCTGTGGACGAGGTGCCCTCAAGATACTTGCAATTGCAGAAGGCTGCTAGGGCTTCCAACTGTTGAAGTCGATGGTCGTCTTCTGCTGGTGGCATCTCCAACTGTGGGGTCATGTCCCTGGGGTGACATGCTGAGTACTCTTTTAGGTATGGCTTCACCCAACTCTGAAGGGTGGCGAGGGGTGGCTGAGTCCTCTCTGCAGTGGGTGGGGTCTGATGTGGGGCGAGGGCGTGGGAACAGAAACAACCTGGTTGTGAAATCCAGGGGTGGGGTGGGGCTCTCCTTTTATAGTCCCAGTGTCCCCAGCCCCTTTGCTCCCGTCACTTCCAAAATCTGACAGTGGAAAGGGTTGTGTGCTGAAGCTCCTGTGATTCTTGGCCTCTTGGGAGATTTCCCCCAACTGTGAAGGATGGGGACAGGCCACTGGAGCACTGAGTGTGTCACACCAGGCCCTCCTGAGTGTCCGCCCTCATCCCTGTCACTGCAGAGGTGATTCACCTGCCCTTTGCAGCCTAACACCACAATATTTTAGAATCTGAGCAGAAAGGCCTTTCATGCCTACGCCTGCTGTGTGTGTGGTGGACAGTGTGCATGAGCAGGTGTGTCATGTCTTGTGATTGTGTGTACGTTGTGTTTCTCCATGTTTATCGGTAACTCCTGCTCTTCAGAAAACATAGGACAATTGTTGAATGCCAAAAGAAATCCTGGGGGCTGGGGTTGTGGCTCAGTGGTAGAGCACTTGCCTAGCATGTGTGAGGCCCTGGCTTCAATTCTCAGTGCTACATATAAACAAATAAATAAAGGTCCATCAATAACTAATAAAAATAAAAATTAAAAAAGAAATCCTGGTGGAACTCTCAGATTTGGACCTTAGGGACTGCTAGCCATTTGTACCCTTAAAGAAAGTTTGGGGCTGACTCACCTCCCAGTTCCCCTTTATTTCTCTAGTTGAACAGATTCTGCGCTAAAAATAGGTTGGATCATGTATTACCTATACCAAATATCAGCCCTTGCACAGTTTCTGTTTTGTGTTCTTTTTGTTTGGAATAGAAGTGATTTTGAGATTATGACCCATTTCTTCTTAAATAGATGTGATCCAATCCTTGATAGTTCTCAGTCATCCTGGGCCTGGTTTGGCTGATGGGAAGATATTGAAAGCTAGATAAAAAAGAATAGCCAACTCAGACAACCCTCTGTCAGGAAAAGTTGTGTGTCTTTCATGAGGATGCTATTTTGCATGTTGCTGTATTTTTTAATTATTGTAATGAGGTGTGATTGTCTATTGGTTACCCACAATTCTTCTTGGGGACTCTCCCCCCGGTAACTCTTGTCAACACTTGTTAATTTGACAAAAGGCTACAAATTAAGCTCTGTTAATTTAATGTTTTCTCACCGAGATCTAAATACCGAAAGAGGCCCAAAGCGCAACTGAAGTCCTTTGATTCACTGTACTTTATTTTGGTATAAATTTACATTCATTATTGTTTTCCTTTGGATGTGTAGCCCTCAATTAGTGTGATGGCTCCATTAAAGGAAGCTAGACTTCGCCTTTAATTATTACAACAAAACACCTAGTCTCAGCTTGGGGAGAGGGTCTCTATTGACATAAGCAGAGGTTATAAAATTTAATTAGCCATTCCTATCAGATTTATGGCATTCAAATTGTTCTGTGTTTCTTCCCTTTGATCCTTGCTGTACAATCCCCAAGATTTTTGTTCTGATCAAATGAGAATAAAGCTGACTGTGCAGAGAGAACTTTCCCTAGTTCTTCTTTCTGTCCCCACCCCCAGCCTGGCTTTCAGTCTCTCATCATGTACCCCTTCTTTATAGGCAAGGTCAACCAGTGTACCCTATCACGACAGGAGGATTCAGACACCCTTATCCCACCGCGCTGACCGTCAATGCTTCCATGTCCAGGTGAGTTCCAAGAGCCAGGGCCCTGCAGGACCGACTGCAGGCCAGTGCCCTGGCCGGCCACCATGTGGGTGCATGTGCAGAGCAGGTGTGTAACTAGGCTTCGATCCTAGAAGACACTGAGCCATCGCCTGAACTTCCGGGGGAAGTGATGCCTTTCTGGCTCGAATCTTTGTGACTCAGCCAATGGGAGCTGTGGATGTTCAGAAATTTAGAAGGCAGGATAAAACAGTTGGGGCATGTGGAGCTTTTAAAGTTTTCTTTCTCTGTTGTCCTGAACTAGTGAGAAGGGAGGGAGTGGAGGTCATTTTATTATGGTACAAAGAAGAGTTTTGCAGAACGGTTATTATCGGTTGTTTCAAAGCTCAAATTCTGATTGAGTCAGCAAGAAAGCCCAGCAAACAGCCCCCGCCACTGCCCCCCAGCTCAAAGCAGCACTGCCCCAATAGATGCTGTGTGAGACACCGAGTGACTTGGGTGTTTTCTGGTAGTCATATTTAAAAAAAAATTTTTTTTAAAGTAAAATGATGCTCAATGATACATTTTATTCATCCCAATACAGTATGGCTGAAATATTGTTTAAATTGTTTAACGTGATCACCGTACAGCAACTGTTTATGGAATTTTACCTCTTTTCCCCATATTTAGTTTTTATAATCTGGTCTGTGTACCTGGCCACATTTCTGGTACTCAGTAAGCCACATGTGCTGGTGGCTACCATATTGGCCCATGCAGCTCTAAATCCTTGAAAGATTTTTTAAAAGACCCAGGGCATGTATACATTCAGGCCTCTTTCTATTTAAGCATATAAATATATATACAACATACATACATATCTCCATGTTCTCATTTTCCTTCCTCTAATTAATTCTGGCTAATTTTTCAGTGACTGTTAGTTTATTTACAAACCGGTTGGCAGCAGTATGTTTAAGTAGTCACTAATTGCTCCTAATGATAGTTTTATTTTCTGTTCATCTGATTTTCAGTCAAGTTAATTAAATCGGTGGAGGTTTAGACTTTCCTGATGGGCTGAAACAACCAATCCATTTTGATGATGGCATATAATTAAATTAGCATGCATTACATGGCAAGGATGCTGTCCCCAGCCCCTTCCCTTCTTCTCAGTGGCTTACGTGGGGCACCAGGACCAGAGACAGAAAGCCTGGCCATGATGCCTCTTTTCCTAAGTACAAAAGAGAGGATTTTGGTGGGAGAGAGAATGCGAATCAGACCCATTGAGAAAAACCCACCGTAGCCTGTGTAGTGGGTGTAATTGTGCTGTGGGTATGATAACAAGATCATTTCCCACGTGTGATGACATCATCGCAGTTTCAAAATCCATGCCAATAGGCATTAGGCGGGAAGATGCTTTTTTGCGCTCTCTGGACCAGCAAGAGGGGAGACGTCACTCTCGTCAGGGACTGTGGTCCGTGGCCTCACAGAGCGCAGGAGCAGCGCCAGAGCCTCCCAGGAGGGGCGCAGCTTGGGAGCCTCAGCTCCCCTCCCCACTGCTCTGCATTCCCATTGCACCCAATTGTTTTCCGTGTTTATTTATTCTGTGCGTCCAGAGGTTGAAAGCAGTGATGTCGTAAGACAGGGATCGGGGTTAAGCTTATTGATTGAATTATCATTAGGAGGTTAGTCGATGATTTATAGGTGGGCAGGGGGTGGAGGAGAAGAAGGGAGCGGTGGGAAGAGAGAGGTTAGGGGCTGGAGGTGCGCAGGAAAGCGGCCGATTCCCCAGGTAGGCCATATGAAAGGTAGCTAGTTAAAAAGCGTATACAGCAAATTAAATACATTATTGTGATAATGGGGTGACAGAAGTATGGGTCTATTATACTTATGGCAGTTATAGCAAATGTAGGCAGCTTGCCCTGTTCCAGAACACCCTTTGATATTCATTCTATTCAGCAGCGAGGCCAGGACTTCTCAGAATTAAGTGATGGGTCATTATACTTTAAACACCATGGAGAAGCCTAGATTGGCAATTAAACAGCTCTTGCTGACACTCACTTGTGCCACCCTGTGACCCCCTTTAGATTGAGATGTTGGAGCTCCGGGCCCTCAGCCTGCTAAATTGGTGCAAGGCTCTCCTCCTGACGAGAGCGGGCTCTGAAATCTGCCGGCTTCAAAGGGAGCGAGATCATGTATAAACCATAATGTGGGTGCACCGTGGCTCACAAAAAATAAGGCAGGAAGAGATGAAATGTTACAAGTGCAAGGGGGAAAATGAGAGAATAATGACAAACCTAATGCAACTCAAAGCAGGAGTGTTGCACGGGAAGATGCATCCCACTGCTTGTGCATAAAATCAAGGCCGGCAGATGACATCCAGTTAACAGAAGCGTGTCAACAGTGAAGTAAAGTGAGAGTGAGTAAGAGAGAAGCCCCTGAGACAGCCAGAAACAAAAATTAGTTGTCCTTAACAAGTTAAGGTTCATCATTATATTCTGGCTTGGAGCCATAAAAGCAGACGGGGGTATATAATGAGCTGCTTAGAATTTTTAGGGTGTTTATTGCATTTCATGAAATAGTTGTCTGCAGAAGGGGATTTCTTGAGCGAAGGAATGCACACGGGCCACATCCACGTCCACATGCAGTTGTTCTTTCTCGATGATACACTTTCTAGATCTCTGAATATGTGTTTAGGAAGAGGAACTTAGAAGTGTATTCTTTATGTCTGCACCCAAAATTTGCCTCCACCCCAAAGTGGCCTCATCATGGTGTCTGTCTTCCTCTGGTATCGCGTGTCTGTCTGTGCATGTGTGCGCACATATACACACACTAGTGTTCACTCCCTCATGTGTGCGTGCATGTATTCTATAGGAAGGGAACGTTTGGTTTTCAGGCATGTCAGGCCTTTAGAACTCACAGTAAAAGCTGCCACTCCACTCATCCCTTCACCCAAAGGGCCTCCAGGAACACAGGAGCACTTCCAACAGTGGGAAGGAGCAGGGAGTAACATGGAAGCCCAAATACCTCCCAAGAGCTTGCTTTCCCTTTTATAAATTTTTGAGGGAAGGTGTTAGAGATAGATTGTCTCTTCACCCCACCTACCCCTTTTGTCCACCCCCATGCCCTAAAAGTTCTTAGTTAATCCTATTGAAATAGTCAAGTAGAGCAAAATTTCATCCCATGCATGCACGATTGTGTCAAAATGAACACCACTATTATGTATGGCTCTGATTCACTAATAAAACGATTAAAAATAAATAAATACATAAAACAATCACATCATCGTTACCAAACTTCAGCATTAGTTTGAATTTGTAAAGGCAGCTCCAGAAGTGGACCATCTCAGGGTGGATTTTCTGAGTCAAGCGTCCACAGTGGCTCTGGGGCCCCTGCAAAAATCACCACTGTCATTGGTGTCTATGTGTCTGTTGATCTGGGTAGATGCTGTTTGATTTTTAGTTTTTCTTATCATTTAACATTTGTCAGATTAACATTCCATTTTAACTAAATGGAAACTAGCTCTGATCCACCGATGGGAAGAACTTTGTAAATGAAGGTTCTTTCTAAGTAAGTGTCATGGTGAAGGACCTCTAGTTCACACAAGAGTTGGCTTCTGAAGGAGGAGGTTATTACTCCTTGGGTAGTGCTTTCGTTGGAAAGCAACCATTGCCAAGGTCTGGGCTCCCCCTCATCTGGACAGCCTCCCTGTCCCCGACTGGCATGGCCTCAGCGGGTGGAGCAGGAGCTGCCATTGTGTGACCTTCTGGGGGTCTGCCCTGTCCGCCCTGCACCCTGCTTTTGTCTACAATGTGTGCTGCTCTGAAGGCGGGGGAAGGAGGACTTCTTGCACTCAAGCATGTCAGGAACGCTCACGAACCATTTGTCCTGTCCAGTTGTCCCTCCACAGATGGGCCCCAAGTGCCTTGAAATCCACTCTTCATGTCCTGGCTCATTTGCTTGGTTGGGAAATGGTAATTCAGGGACTAAAATGGGTTTCAGAGTCTTTCTCAGAAATGAATAGTATTAGAGAAGAAAACACAGACTTTCGTCTTTATCATTTTGATTGTTGCAGAAGAGGCTCTTTAATTGTGTACAGACCACATAGTAAGTAAAGATGACTTAGGAATTGTACTTTTGAGAGGAGAAAGGGCAGTCAGTACTCAAAACTACGTGTGTGTGTGTGTATATGTATGTGTGTGTGTCTGTGTGTCTCACCTTTCTGTGAAATGATACAAACATCTTGCGTCCATAACTTACAGGAGCCAAATAGAAAACATTTGAATGTTTCCCTATCTTTCTTCCTCACTCTCTCCCATTCCTGTCAAATGAGGGGCATAGCAACAAAAGAAAAAATAAAAATTTCATTGCACTCCATCAACAGAATGAGGCCTAATGAGGCCTGCATAGCATTGTCAGAAATGTATGTATATTTCAACCACGTTAATATTTTATTTAGCTGTCAATATACAACAAAAGAGTTCACCTTTCATTCTACAGCAGATTAGGACTTAGGAAACTGTCTTCTTAGATGCCACTAATCATGTCTCAAAAACAAGTGGACATGCCGTTTCCGGCAGGTAGCCCAAGCCCGCCTTTCCGCCCAAGTACATCAGTTGGATTTGTCTTTTGCTAAAGATGTTAAAAAATCATAATGTCTCATGTCAGTAGCAATAATGAAGGGGAAGATTGGCTTTAATGACATTATGAGAATCATTATGTTTAATTTATCACTAATTAACGCTGACAGGTTTCATATGCCGTGGGTGGCTTTCATGTGCATGTTACGTGCTGGTTTTTTTTTTTTTTTCTCTTTTTAAAAAAATTTGTGTGTACACATCCCTCCTCATTCATTCATTTTGATTCTGACGATTTACACAGCTTCCTGTCTTCTAGGTTCCCTCCCCATATGGTCCCACCACATCACACTCTGCACACCACCGGCATTCCCCATCCGGCCATAGTCACACCAACGGTCAAACAGGAATCCTCCCAGAGTGACGTCGGCTCCCTCCACAGCTCGTAAGTGTCCCTTGCTGTGGCTCTTCTGTGGCCACAGTGTCTAGTGGTTGGTGGCGGATGCTTCGTGTGCTTGGACTACAGCCCCCAAGCCACCTGGCCCGTGTGGGCTCCCCATGAAGAGAGAGAAGTCGTGCAGTGGTGGGCTTCACCCCTCGTCCCCCTGGGGGTCAGCACAGAGCTCTTTTTTGTGTGTGTTGGGATGGCTTGGGATCTGTAGCCACTTCCCTGCCCTCTCACCCCAAAGTGGGACATTTGGAGCTTTGTTCTGCAAGCTCCGGAGGCAGGGCATGCGGGCTGCTTCCCACGCCTCGGGAAAGTGGTCTATTGGTGAAACTCGCAGTGATTACAGAATCTTGCCCCAGCCCCTCCCCTGGCTATTTTGGCCCCATTTTCCGGGGTGGAAGAGACTGAAAGTGGAAGTGCGCCTTTTATTGGGGACAGCCAGCGAGGCTCGGGTGTGAGGAGTCGGGGCAGCGCGCTCTGGAGGAAGTTGGGCCACGAGGTTGTTTACTGGGCTCTGTGTCCACTTTGTCTGTGTCCAGAAAGCACCAGGACTCCAAAAAGGAGGAAGAGAAGAAGAAGCCCCACATAAAGAAGCCCCTCAACGCATTCATGTTGTATATGAAGGAAATGAGAGCAAAGGTCGTGGCCGAGTGCACGCTGAAGGAGAGCGCGGCCATCAACCAGATCCTCGGGCGCAGGGTAGGCGGCCCCGTCGTGGGGACGAGGGGGAGGAGTGGACACGTCGAGGCCCCGGGAGGTGGGAACCCTGTCCCCCAGCTCCATTTTGAAGTCTTCAGTGGGCTCCACGGAGGCAGGCCCAGGCATTCTGCATAGAATGAGATTCAGAGAGTCATCACCACATTCGGTCGTCCCCACCCCAGAGACGGAGACGAGATGGATGGATGCAGACAGTGCTCTGTCTGAACACTCCTGTGAGCGCTGGCTGTGTCTGGCCGACTCTCTGTGACTGTACCTGAGGCCATCTCTGGTCACACTCGCCTCCCCAGGAAGTGTCGGTCCTTTATCGGCCGTGGTGTGGTTGATGATGTTTTTGCATGTCTTTCTCTGTCCCACCCTGTGTCCCCTCCAGTGGCATGCACTGTCCAGAGAAGAGCAGGCGAAGTACTACGAGCTGGCCCGGAAGGAGCGACAGCTTCACATGCAGCTGTACCCTGGCTGGTCCGCGCGGGATAACTATGTAGGTGGATCATTTGCCATAGGACACTTTCCCTAGAGACGTGTTCTGTGTCCAGTGGGCAGGGAATCGTCACTGTCAGCTTGACTCTGGCTTTAGGACTGTTTATCCTGCCCGCTTCTGGGACCGTTACCATCTGGCCTGGTCCCTGGAGGTGTGTGTCTTGGCTTCTAGTCTAGCTGTGGCAGCATGCTGTCTTTTCTCCAGAAAAAAGGAGGAAGCTGGTGTCTGGTGACCTAGCTCAGGACCCCTGGGATCCACTGGGGCTTCTGCACACCTCCTGGACCACTTGGTAGAGAGGCGAGCCTCTTGGATGAGTGTGTAGACCTTGGAGAAAGGAGACCACTGGGCTCATTCAGAGGGTGCCCCAGAGGGGGTTCCTCAGCAGCCCTCCTAGGGGGTGGGGGAGAGAGTTTCACTCCTCACAGGTCTTGCAGCAGGGCCTGCAGCCTGAAGGAAAAAGAAACAGTGGCCTTACGCCATGGTGTACTAGAAGTAGGAAGCCTGCCTCACCCAGAGAGGGGCATGATGGGAACATCCTTGAAAGTAGCCAATGGAAGTCACCCTGGCCAGGATGGAGGAAATGGTGCGTTCCTAGACTCTGGTGGCTGCAGGTTTGCCTCATTTCCTCTCTGGGCTTTTGGGGAACACCCTAGTTGGAGGATCATTTTACTGATTGCACCAACACCCCCATTCCTCTCCCGAAGGCTTACTATCCTCTGGAGATTGTCGCTGTCACCATCATCCCCACCCATACATCTTCCCTAGTGGCCCATGGTCTGGGCTGTCTCCCTATATGCCGTCACTTTGCGTGATGCTTTTTCCTTCCGTAATGATTTGCTCTCCACTCTGAGGGGGGCCAAACCATCTTGACGGCAGCACCTTCCCTCCCGTTTTGTGGGGGTTGTGGACCAGTCCATGCTCTCCGCTTGGCGTCACCCAGGGTCAGGAAGCTCTCTGAGGCCATTAACTCATGCGTGATAGAGCCTTGCCACGTTGTGGGGATTCGGAATCCAGCCCAGCACATTTGCTCTGAGAACTTGGTTGGCGTCCACCAAGGAAACCATGAACATGCGCGTGACCGCACGGCCCTGAGTGCAGGCGGCTTTCTGCTTGTCCTGGCCACCTATCTCAAGTTTCCACCCTCGATATTCTTACACCTTTAAGCACGTTCTTGCTCATCTGCTCCTTGCTGTGTAGACCTTAGAGAAGGGAGACCACTGGGCTTAACTGCCACTCCCCTGCCTCTCCCTCTGTCTCCCACTGGCCATAGCTGGCAGCACAGCACCAGCCTGCATTCCTGATGGGCTGAAGCAGGAAGGAGTAGTACTGCTTGGATGGCATGGCTGCTTCACCGAGAGCCCTTGTCACCTTCAGGTGGGCATAGGGTGACGGCCTGGAACCTCTGCGTGCACCCTCAGCATGTGTGCCCAGGGGAAGCCTTTCTTCTGGAGCTGAAAGGAAGAGGATGAGAAAGTGAATGCTCCCCGCAGGCTTGCTGTCACCCCGCCTGACCCCCAGGTGGAGCGGGCAGCAGCAGGCAGCGTCCACAGCCTGCACACAGCCTTGCGGTTTCAGGACAGGTATTCTCCTGGTTGCAGGCCGGAAGTCGTTAGAGTTATCCACAGCTTCTACTTGCTGCACACCCAATTCTTGGAGTAATCTAGAATGGTACCATCCAGTGGAATTCGGCTTTTCTACAGATACCATGGCCCTGCTGGACTTGGGGGTCACAGTAGGGCTTCTTGTACAGCTGTGCAGGCCAGACTCTGCAGTTCAAGGTTGTGCTGTTTATATCAGGGTCTGTGGCAGTGGTGCCCCCTGGAGTTGTGCAGGGTGAACTCTCCACGAAAGGACAAGTTCAGTTTTGTGATAGCTTCGTAAGAATGGTGTGTTGGACTTTCCCCAAGACTTTCTGTGATGTGCTTCCTAGGTTTTAGAAGGTCCCAGAGGCACTTGATGTGACTTCTGCTCAGTTCCACATTCACAATGTGGCTTAGTGTGATTGGGAGCTCCCAGGGGACTTGAAGAGGTTTGGGAGAAGGTCGGGATTTAGGGCCATGTGTCTTCCTTGAGGTGGTGTCAGGTTCCTGATGTGAGGAGAGGAGCATGGATACACTCTGACTCTGTCTTCTTCCACGCCTGGGGATTAGTCAAGGGGCAAAAAGTGCGGAATAGAAGGTCATGAGGATTGGGGCTGTTGGGAAAACTTTTCTTCTTGAGCTCCCTTGCACTAGGAGTTTTTGCAAATTACCTTTGTCCCTGAAAAGTCCTAACAGTTCTTCTGAAAAATGCCTTCTGAGCTTGCCCCTTCCACAGCCCTGATATCATCCAAGGAGTGACGGAACCTTTCTATCTCAGGAAAAAAGAATTGAGTGAAACCAGGCATGTCTGGATGCCCAGGCTTGGTCCATTCTCTAGAATAGAAAAGAAGAAATAACTCAGTGCCATAGTTATGCCTCACCCCAGCTTCATTTCAGAACATGGGTTTCTTCCCGCCTCTTTGACGTTAGGTGAAGGAGATAATCCTTTGCCGTTTGCTCACCAGTTTCCTCTTTCTTATGCCTTATGTTGGGCCTTTTCTTTCGCTTCTTCGTTGAGCAAGGTCCTTCAAGACTAAACAGTGTGTATTAGCTTCCTCATGTCCCTTTCCTATTAATTATGTCCCTGTCCTCTGAACCCCAATTTCCTCAGTCATAGCATCTCAAACAGACAGCTCCCCGGGGTCAGAGGAGGAGCCGGTGCCTTTAGAATCTGTTGTGGGGCATTGGAATGGGAAGTGGGTACTAAAGCAAAGGCCTGGGGGTGCAGATGCCGACACCCCTTGAAGGTGAAACCTTTCTACGTTAATTGAAACTAGACCTAGCTACTGGATCCCAGACAACCACCTTGTACTTCACTTCATTCTCTTGGTTTTTGTTTTTGTTTGTTTTATAATTGTACACCAAAGAACATAACATGCTTAAACAGGAGTGTTGATCAAAAGCCAAAACACATTTCCCGAGTGGCACAGGCCCTGTGCCCCAGGAGAATAGAGCTACCTTCTCAAAACAGTGCTCTCAGCTCTCGGATGGAGCAGAGCCCCATGGCCTCTCTCTCTGGAGGTTCCTGCAGTGCCTAACCCAGTCTCAGTTCCTGTCCATTATTGTTCTTTTCTCTTCGACTGCGTCACCATTCGTGAGAAACTTTACGCAAAGATAGCGTTTAGGTATTATGGAGCTCCCAGGATGTAAGGCCACTGGAGTGCAGTTCCCGTTCAGCCGCCAACTCATGGACAGGGTTAGGGCAGTCCAGGGAGGGGGCAATGAGCTTCAGACATTGGCCCACAAATTCCCTCCAGTTCCGCAGCCACCCTAGCAGGCAGCCAGGATTCCAGGGAGGCCCAGGCTGGAGAGATGGATGGCTCCATGCAGTCCGTCATTGTTGGTCTTCTAGCAAGGGCTTCCATGCAGGGCCAGTATTGTTATGTAGTGGGCAGCAGAGCCCTGAGTCGAGGGTCGGGGTGACGAGACTCCTGAGTTTCCAGGCTGGCCCTCCGTCTTGCTGTGCCACTTGAGAAAAGTCTGTGAAATTGGAATGGCAGTGATGCCTGGTGTGTAGGTTGTCATGAGGATTAAAGGAGTCACTGTGCCCACTGGGTGCTGGCCACTGTCGCCAGGCAGTGTTCACCATCCTCTTCACCCGGCTGGTTTGACTTAGGATTTTTCAGCTTCTTGTCATGTGAAGACACACCCATACAACCATTCTGTTTTCTACTTTCAGTAAAGACATGTGATATTCAGTGCTTTATTATGATGGTGGGCTTGAGTCAGATGATTGGAGACAGCTGTAGGCTGTTGCAGGTGTTGAGCACATCTGAGGTAGGCTGGACCTGAGCTCCAGGGCTCAGGAGGGAGGTGATCAGATGCACTTAGACTTAGCCACATTTTTAACTTATGATGGGTTTCTTGGAGTACCACCCCATCAGAAGCCAGAAGCCAGGGAGCCTCTGTATAAGACAGGCTAATGGGGGAACTTGCCTTCTCTGTGGATGTCTACCCAGCAGGTAACTCCAGGCCCTGTCCCACCTACCACCCAGTCTCTTCAACCTGTGCCCAGGAAGTGCCCACTATAGCTGTCCTTCTGGATTCAGAATGGGGGAGGGCAGCTCTCTGCCCAGCCTGTCACGGAGAGTGTCTAGCAATCTGCTCCTTTCTGAATGATCCCTTTGGTGGAATGAGATGCCCTGGCTCAGGTCTGAGATGAGCAGAGGTATCTCTGCCATGCTCCACCACCCACTCATCCCTCCTCTACTCCAGGAAGCGTGTATCCCTCTGGCTGGAATCAGAGCTCAGGGGCATCGGGGTGAAAGGGATGGGAGGTTGGACAGACTCCAGGGGACAGGTGAGGGTGGAGGTGGCAAGAGGGTGCCCCCTCTGCCTTCTTCCAGGGGAGCCCAGACGCCTTCCTCCTGCCTTTCTTGAACTAAGCCGCTGTATTTCATCTGTTCATCTAGGGGAAGAAGAAGAAGAGGAAAAGGGACAAGCAGCCAGGAGAGACCAATGGTAAGTCAGGATACTCAGGATGGAGGAGGAAGCAGTAGCTGGAGGGCCACTCTTATGCCAGGCTTCCATCTGGGGGGAGGCAGGAGAAATTCAAGGCCAGGACATGGGGTGGGGCATCTTAGGCAGCCTTTTTGTTTATGCATTTTAATTAATTGCTTCATGACTGCCCTTTTAAAGCTAGTAACATCCATTGTTGCATGAAAAAGCACATTGTAATTCTAGTGGAATGTGTTTTTTAAATAACTGCAAAGCCTGTAACTGGAGAGCAAGCGGCAGGCATGCCTCTGCGGGGATTTAGGCAGTCTGCTTATTTTGTATGTGTCTGAGGAGGGATGAGGAGGGGCTAGGGGAGTAGGAGGGGTGTGAGTGCGGGGGTCTTAACTGGGCTGTTCCTGAATGTTCTGATGCATGCCTTTACAGTGGTAAATTGCACCCATTTTAAATTAAGGAGGTTTGTCATTCTCTAGAAGGAATTAGAAATACTGCATAGGCAATCTCAGAGGTCCCTGGGAGAAGACCAGGCTTTTACAAACAAACAAACAAAATTCTTGAAGGCTTTGTATAATTTGTTCTTTTTTTTCAGAACACAGCGAATGTTTCCTAAATCCTTGCCTTTCACTTCCTCCGATTACAGGTGCTAATGTCATTTTGAGTCATTAAAATAGTTGATAAACTGTTTTTTAATTTTTCTTGCCGTTATAGTTTTATTAACATTAAACACGTATGACATTTGAACATCCTTTAAAATGACCATCTACACGGTGTCGTATGTTTCGGTAGATTTTTTTTTTTTTTCCAGTTGCTTTTGTTGTTTTTTTGAATTTAATTTAACTTCTGTTTTGTTTATTTATTTTTTTCCATAACAGTTGTTTAAGCAGCAATGACAGTGATTTAGAGCTGAACTAACTGTGCAAATTGAATATGCAGTATTTCTTTAAAAGAGACTGGTAAAGAGAAAAAAAAAATATGGAAGGAATTCAGTAATAAACCTCCTTAATCTAATGGCATTTTTTTCATGGCTCCCACTAAGTTTTCTCCCACAAGCATGCATCCGCAGTATGATTATTTTTTTCCTTTGCTTTTTTATTTTATTTTATTTTATTTTTCTTCCCTTTTGCTTTTCTGCTTATAATTTGCAAATCCACTAGCATTTTACTGACCATTGCCTGCTTCAATGCTGCTGTGAGCTTCTAACTAACCCTTAATGGCTCATCCACACAGCCTGTTGACCTCATTCTGTTTCTCTCTCAATATTAACGAAAAGAGATTAAAAAGAAAAGACGAACATTCCAAAAGCTGCAATATCCCAAGACCATGACCCTTTTCTTTCTTTATTTCTTTCTGTTTTGTTTTGTTCTGTTCTTTTTATTATTTGTAGTTTTTTTTTTCTTTTTTAAACTGTTGTCCTCTGAGAAGAAAAAAGCATGTTACAACTTAATTCCCTCCTTCGCTTTATTTTCTTCTTAAAAAAAAAAAAAGAAAGAAAAAGAAAAAATTGAGAGGAAAAAAAAAAAGGAAAAACAGAACTAAAAAAATAAGGAAAAAAAATTGAATAAGTGAGTTCTCCAAGGCCTAACTTCCCTTTGGCAGCTCAAACCGAATCTGAGACACAGTCCTTAAAGAAGGGATACTGCAGCTTTATTTGCAACAGCTAATTTCACAAGTTGAATAAGAATGTGATTTTTACCTTTTTTTTTTTTTTTTTAAAGTAAAGAAAGTTAAAAAACGAAAGTCAATATTTTGCCATTAGTAACCAGGTCATTGATTTATTCCCTTTTTTATTTTTATTTTTTTCTTATTTGTATCTCTCTCTCCCCCTCCCTTCCCTTCCCTCCCTCCCTCTTCTCTCTCTCTCTCTCTCTCTCTCTCTCTCTCTCTCTCTCTCTCTCCCTTTCTCCCATGTCCTCCTCCTCTGCTCGCTCCTTTCTTGAACTCATTCAGACCTGAGCGCTCCTAAGAAATGCCGAGCGCGCTTTGGCCTTGATCAACAGAATAACTGGTGCGGCCCTTGCAGGTGTGTATAGTCTCCCAGATTCGCTGTGCTGGTTTGCAGCTGGTCTCTTCCATCCTTCCCCCTTCTCTGGCCTGTTGCTTCATAGCTCTGTGTGTGGATCGTAGGAGACACGAGGGAGTGGGACACTGCCAAGTGTATGGGCTCGATGAGGGATGTGCTTGTTCTCCCGCTGCTGCTAGCCAAAATGCCACTGTAAAACAGCATCACGTGTGCCTCCTCGGGTCAGCGACTGCAGACCCCAGCGCGCCCTCTCCCAGGGAACGTTGCCTGCCAACCCCCTTGTGACAGCCCAGGATCCTCATCCTGGCCTAGGTAGAATTCTGCCAATGACGTCACCTTCTCCCCTCCTCTTCTCTCTCTATTTTTATTTATTTTTTATTGTTGTTTTTTGGTTTCTGGTTGTTGTTTTGTGTGTGTGTGTGTGTTTTATTGTTTTATTTGATTTTTTTTTCCATTTGACTCATAGAAGTCCTTTCCTTTCATGCCCTTGATGAGGGACGATTAACAAATAGAGCCAAGGTGCTGTAGAAGACAATAAGCTGTAGCTGAGATCTCACATCCAACTGAGCACGACCCACCATTGTGTTGTATTTTTTGTGTTTACCTTATGCTAACAGATGCAAATACTCCAAAGAAGTGTCGGGCACTGTTCGGGCTTGACCGACAGACTTTATGGTGCAAACCGTGCAGGTATATTACCACTGCGAGGCCTTTGGGAAAATCAAATAACTCTGTCCTTCTGGTACCTTAGTGTGACAATTTATTTTGACCTCCTTCCCATCTACTTCCCCCACTGGCATCAATGACTAATGATCCTCATTCTTCAAAATTTTCTTGCTAATTTCATGCTGTTTCCTGTCTCCACTTTCTCCTCCTCTCTTTGTCCCCTGCTCTTCCAAATAACGTGTCCCTGATGGCAGGACTGAGACCACAGCCTTGACAAACCCTGACGGGCTCCGAGACTTGTCCTTTGCAAGCCAGTGTCCTGGACTGGTTTGGCCTAATGAGTGCCTCGGTTGCCTGTGTCCTGAGTGTAGAGAGCCAGCAGTTCCCAAGTTTGGACCAGTTAAACGTGGCAGCGAGAGCATCCCTGTGCCCTTGGGAATTGGACAGGCTTTTCCCCCACTCTTCCTTTTTATCCCCATCTCCCCTTTGTTGTTTTGTGTTTTAAAACCACATATTTCTGTACAGAGGAGCTTGTATAGCTGACATTGTTTTACAGTGCTAAAAAAAAGAAGCGTGGCATTGAACGGCATGCACAGCTGCGGGGCTGTGGGCAGCGAGGCCTGCAGCTGCCCGCTGCACAGAGCCACAGCGTTAAAATGTATGCATACCTGTGCACCATGTAGCAGTGGTTCCTAAATGAATCAGAGCAGCCCAGAAGCGTCCAAATCACGTCCCATGTTCCACCGGCAGGTTCCCACCCCACCTGTAATCTCAGGGAAGGTGTAGGTACTTCTTCTTGGTGGAGGGCTACCAACTAGTTCCTGTCTCCTTTCCTTTCCTTTAATGACCACCTTTGGTTAAATTTGTTGTTTCTTTGTTCTGATACAAGCAGTCTTTGAATTTGGAATATTATGATGGTAGGTATCTCAACACCCCAACACGCGTCCCTGTTTGTAGTGCCTCCTTGTCACGTGTCCCTCTCCTCCATGCCTCTGCCATGTGCTCCATGTCTAGACGTTAGAACAGATGTTCATCCCATCACGTGCATGCCGACGAGTCTGCTGTGTCTCTGACCCCCTTCTCTGATGCCAGTACTGAGAGATGGGTGAAGTGTGCCTCGAGCTGACCCAACAGATGACGAGCGAGAAAGGGCCCAAGGCAGGAGTGATGCAGGAGTCATGAGTAGGGACTTGGGACCTTAGATGGAGTCCTAGCAGGAGAGGAAGGCCCTGGTCCTCAGAGCTAGCAGCTCTCACAGAGATGACAAGTGTCCTTTCAGCACATCTCTGGGGTCTTCTCTGGAGCACAGGAAGGAGCTCTGTGATAAGAGATTGTAGGTCTGTCAACAGGATGAGCCAGGGAAGATGGGGACACCTGCCAAGCAGGGGGATCCTCGGCCGTGGGAACCGCCCTGAGACACGGTGTGGTGGCAGATCTCTGGCTGGTGGGAGCGTTCCTCCTGAGCAGTGGACACAGCTCACTGGGCCTTACAGTGAGGGCGGCTTGTGTGCCTGTTGGTTTACACTGTTCCTGGGGGAGGGGTTTATTGCCTCCCACCTTTTTGTGTTTTTGTGTCAGAAGTAGTTGCTGCATGTTAGATTTGGCTTTTCCCCCCACTTCTAGAAGTTACTACTAACTACTACTAACATTGACCTGGACAGATATCCTGTCCTCATCCAGCCCACGCTTGCTGAAAGCCGGGGTGGAACATTTCCTCAGAGACCAGAATTTTCTTGATATTTTTACCAAAAAAAAAAGACTGCCATGCTTTGTGGCTCAAGCCTTTGTAGTTGTCCCATGTTTGACAGTGTGGTTTCCCACACGCAGGTTTGGGGCTGTCAATATGGCTGTGGATGCTGAGGAGAGGGGCCGTGGTCATAAGAGCAGTGTGACAGGCCCTCTCCCCGGATATTCTTCCTGCCTCAGGCCCCTTAGAACACTTCCAGCAGCTATTTTTGGGGGGACATGAGTTCATACCTTAAATATACTGAAAAAATTCATTCCTATCTTTTTTCAAAACGGGATCAGAAAGAGTCTGTAGTTTCCTTTTGGAATAAATATGGAAGACGCTAGGAATGGATGGAGATGCCTAGACGGGCGGGTAGGAGTCGGGGTTTTATACAAGTAGTAACCTGTCCTTCTTCCCCTGCCCAACTCTTCCTTTTAACGTGGCCATGACCACATGTGGCTTGATGGGAATATCAATAGGACAAAATGTGCTTTTAAGAAAAGGGGGTGGTGGGGGGACAGAGAAGAGCAGTTGCAAACCGAGGCATTTCCTGACACGTATGTCCAGCTGCCTTTCCCTCCGCCCTGTTGGGAGCATCGCTCTGTCACCATCGTCTTCGTGTCCCATGTTCAGAGTGCCCCATGCATCCCCGGGATTGGAACCTTCATGTCATCAGGAGGGCGGGAGGGGCGAGGAAGGCCCTGAGTCCTCTGCCAAGCAGGGCTCCTGAGTTCACCCAGGAGCACCCTAACCAGCCTCTGTTTTGAGCCCACCAAGTTGCTCTTCACTCTACCCTGAGAGAGCCTGGAATGCTGCTTGATGCCACCCCTTGCCTAATGGTCTCCCCTCCTTCCCTTCACCTGTCCTCTCCACTCTCGTTTCCCCCATTGCTTTCTCAGTTTTGCATATGCCTTTCCCCGCCCCCTCTGCCCCTCCCCCCATTTTAAAAATGCATGGACATCTTAGTTTCTGAGCATGTTTGGATCTGCAGGCTAAGATGGTTTAAAATGGAGAGGCTTGATTGTTTACCTTGGCTCCTGGGATGGGAGCAGAATCCTGTAGTCTGTGCCAGTCTATCCCAGGGAGAAAAAGGAACTTCACCAAACTGAGGGTGACAGGGGGCTGCCCCTGCCCCCCCAGAGTTCCTTCTGACCCAGTGGGGACAGACAGACTTGAGCCACCAGCCCCGAATGGGTCTCAGCCTCTAACCTTCTACCCTCCTCTCCTTCCCTTCCCTGCCATCTTGTGGAGTCCACGCCCCGTGCACTGACAAGCGTGGGGCTCAGAGCAGAGGAGGCGCTCAGTACACCCCTGACTCAAAGGCCAGTGTCACTGTCTAGCAGGGGTCGCCTTCAAGTGGGCAGGCAGCATCTTGGCCAGGTGCTCACACCCTTCTTTTCAGGTGGAGTGTTGGGGCCCTGGTTCTGACTGCATATTGAAGGGTCCTTGGATGAGCGTGCGCACATCCTGTATCTGCATTATGTTTACAGCATTAGTGGGTTGATCCCAGGATCACCTTTCCTACCAAGTGTGATCCCATCAGACTGGGATTAAGGGTGGGAGAGGCTTTGAAGTCCAATCTCTCGGTTGATTTTCCCTGACTTCATCCTTTGATGATAAGCAAGAAAGGCTCTGAAATTCACATTCCTGTTCCTTCCATAAACAGGCAGTGGAGAGGGGAGATTCCGGTTTTGGTGCAGGGTAGAGTGTCTTTGTGGTTCAGACATGAGGACCCCAGCCCCAGGAAGGTCCCTGCTGTGATTCCCTGGCACTTCTTCTTGGTGGTCACTCCTCTGTGACTGGCTTGTGCTGCGCCCTCCACTTCCTGGCCTCAGCATTTTGTCAAGGCCATGATGCCCCTCCATCCCATCCTCACCGTCTGTCCTTCCAACCTTTTCACCAGGGGGTGGGGGAGGGGAAGCCCCAAATCTTCAAAAAAAAAAAATGATCAATGAAAAATTTTTTAAAAAATCAAGTTTGAATCTTAATTTAATCCACAACCTGCAGGCCATACAACCAGTTATTCTTGTTCCTTTGGATCATTTTCTGTTTTTCTTATTCTCGCCCCTCCCCCACCTTTGTTTTTCCTCTTCTACCTGTTTTTGGTGGTTTTCTTTCCAGTTTTTTTTTTTTCTTTTTGGTTTCGTTTGTTTTGTTTTTGGTTTTCTTTTCTTTTTTGTTTTAGTTGATTTTGTTTTATTTTCGTTCCCCCTCCCCTCTCACCTGATTCTGACCTCTCTTGATTTGGTGTGGTTCTTAACAGACAAGCCCGAAAGCTCTCTGGGCGCCGGCAGCCTCACGGTGGTGGTGTGTTAAACCTTTAAGCCTCTTGCTAGTGCTGCCTTCAGCTATGTGGGCTCAACAGTCAGCATTCTGAGAGTCTCATTGATAAGAGGCGGCTGGGGAGGGAGCTCTGTCTTTCTCTTTTTAGACACACACACATACACCATTGGGGGCTGGGGGTGGTAGTGGTGGGATTTGGGGAGGGAGGGCAAGGAAATGTGGTGGGAAAGTGAAGGAACGTCTAAGCCCAGGGAGAAATAAGCATTTCTGTTAATATCGGTTTGGATGAAGCCATTTTGGCCAATGGGTGCCACCCTACGCAGGTGACCCCTGCAGTCGGCTCACTTCTAGCTGGGCAGGGGTGGGACCTCGGGTGGGCCAGCAGGTAGGGCATCCTCCCCAGTGTCCTGTGTGTCAGAGCAGACCTAGAGAGGGCCATGTGGTCCAGGGAGCCGGGCAGCCTGGCACCGGGAGTGCCATGCTGCAGGGTATCAGCTAGCTGATGTCCCCTGGCCGCTAGCATTAGATGAACTGTCCCTTGGCATCTTTGCCTGTTATTCACAGATGACTCTCTCCCCTGTTTCTAGGAGAAAAAAAAAGTGCGTTCGCTACATACAAGGTGGAGGCAGCTGCCTCAGCCCACCCTCTTCAGATGGAAGCTTACTAGACTCGCCGCCCCCCTCCCCGCACCCGCTGGGCTCCCCTCCCCCCGACGCCAAGGCACAGACTGAGCAGACCCAGCCGCTCTCGCTGTCCCTGAAGCCCGACCCCCTGGCCCACCTGGCCATGATGCCCCCGCCGCCCGCGCTCCTGCTGGCCGAGGCCGCCCACGGCAAGGCCTCCGCCCTCTGTCCCAACGGGGCCCTGGACCTGCCACCTGCCGCCCTGCAGCCACCCCTCGCCCCCTCCTCGCTCGCACAGCCGTCGACGTCTTCCTTACATTCCCACAGCGCGCTGGCCGGGACGCAGCCCCAGCCGCTGTCCCTCGTCACCAAGTCTTTAGAATAGCTCTCGGTGTCCCGCCTGGTGTGAGTGTCCCCCCCGGTCCTTGGTTTGCCTCCCCCCACCGGAAAGCTTTTGTTTTGTACTCTTTTAATTTTGTGCCACGTGGCTACATGAGTTGATGTTTATCGAGTTCATTGGTCAATATTTGACCCATTCTTATTTCAATTTCTCCTTTTAAATATGTAGATGAGAGAAGAACCTCATGATTCTACCAAAATTTTTATCAACAGCTGTTTAAAGTCTTTGTAGCGTTTAAAAAATATATATATATACATAACTGTTATGTAGTTCGGATAGCTTAGTTTTAAAAGACTGATTAAAAAACAAAAAGGAAAAAAAAAAAGAGAGAAGCAATTTTGAAGCAGCCCTCCAGACGGAGTTGGTTCTGTATTATTTGTATTAAATACGAGCTTGCGAACCAATCATTTTACACCTGGTTTTTAAACCACAGGGGCACGGTGAATGCAGTGCCATTACCTTTTTTTTTTTTTTCCTGTGTGAAACAACTTTTATTGTGATGTTACTTGTTATTGTTTAAATGTACAGAAACAAAGGGTTAAAATGTGTTAATATACCTTGTTCCATGGTGTTGTTCTTTTGGGGGGAGGGGGATGCTACTCAACAATTAATGGAATCACAACGCTGTTGGACCAGTAGTATTTATTGCTTTAGAGATTGCTTGTACCTGTACGTCGTCCCTTTTTAAATATGTTTTCCTTTTTCTTGAAACTGTATAAAGTTTTTTTCCCCCTTAGCATAAGCATCTTATATATAACAACTCATTTGTACAAGGTTTTTAAGTTTATATATAAAATGTGTATATATTTTTTTGTTTCCCTTTTTTGACTTTTATTTTTTTTTTTTCTCTCTCTCTCTCTCTCTGTATGAAACCCAGACGCCGCCAAATGGACATTCATAGTTGCATTAAGGATCAGTAGCATTAACAAAAGTTGCTTTAAAAGCCATTATGTAAAACAAGACTTGAACATTAGTGAGGGAATCCTAGCGAAGCTGTCTGAGCAGCAGTGGGAACCGCCCGTTTCCCCTGTGAACTCCTAGTCAAATGCCCTGTGCCCTTAGGACATGGACTGCCGTGTGCAAAACTTGATGTGCCAAAATTCTCAGTGACTTTAGCTTTCTCCCTCTTTTTGATGCTGTACTTTCTGTTCACCATGTTTTGCTGTGATGTTACATAGGTAGATTTGTATGTAGTTTTAATGTCACCTATAACAAAATGTGTTTGGTAGCAGATTGTCCAGAAAGCATTTTAAATGAAGAGGTATAAACCCTTAAGGGCCAAAATTCTGTATATTAGATTACTCTTAAAATGAAAAAACCAGCTGCCGCTTTTATGTACACACAAGACATACAAGTAGGTAGCGAACTTTAAAAATAAAAAAAACCTAGGCATGTTGATGTTGCAAAATGCTGTATAAAGCTGAAACCTGTTCATTCAGTGCCATTGTAGTTGACATGAAGCGATTGTAAAACTGTCTCCGATTTTTCTCTGGTTTATTAAAATGCTAACTATAACATTTTTTGTGAATACTTTGAATGTTTCCTAACAGTTGTGATGTTACTGTTCCGTTTTATGCTCTTATTCCAAGTTCATTTTTAATGGTTTGGAAGCCATTTTTGTAATGAATAAATGTTCATGCTGTACAGTATCTGTAGCATGCCGTTCTGGATTAATAAAAGCAACTTAGTATGTGCAGATAAAGACTGGTCACTTGTTTCTGTGATTTGGATTTTTATCTCTTTGGAAATTGGAAATTTGGAAAATGCATGAGAAATGCATTCCCAGGTTGGGCCCTGAGACCGTGTGTGGGTATTGGGTGGTGACCAGATAACCAAAAGGTGGTCTTGCACTCTTGGAAGGAGGTGACTCCCCTCCTGCATCCTGAATGCCCATTTGGTAGACTGTGTACCTGGTTTGTATCATGTGTCATTTATAGTGAAGATTATGGGGAAAAACGGGTCTCTAAGGCATCTTTCCCCGTATTCAACTGTGCCACTACCAGTAAGTTGATCAATCAGCAGTAGAGGTCACTTGATTGGCTGCAAAACAGTTACTCTGCTGTGTCCTGCGTGTCCCTCTCACAGTGTTGAGCAGGAAGGATTTAATTCTGGTGAGTGACACTGGCTCACCAAGAGTGAGTTTAGGAACCATGGTTACTGCCTGGCGACCATGGATGTAGAAGTAGCCTAACTTCTTTCCAAGAACTTTCTGTTGGGAGAGCTGCAAGCAGTTACCCTGAAACCCTTTCTTTAGCAGCAAGCAAGTGGATTTCCTGAAAACTGCACCAAGGTGATTCCCTTAGTGGGTATGCAAGGGTCTTGCTGTCTGTGGGACCCTTGGCTGTACGCTGGCAAGGATGCCCGTTTGTTACCATCACTGAGGAGGGCCGCAGTAAAGATCTTCCCAAGGTTTCCACAGGGTGGATAAAGTGGATGGATGGATGGATCTGTTGTTCTGGGAATCTAGGACATCTGCACCTTCAAAGGATTGTGATTTCAATGGGCACAGAAGCGGTTCGTGTTGCTGTTGTTGTTCCTTAAGGTTACCACGGTGTCGCATCAAGGACTTTAAAGCTCCTCGGAAACTGCCTTGCCCGAGCTAGTTTTTATTCTGTGAAATTTCAGTATTTTGTTTTTTGCTTTGTTTGGTATTCCCGGTGAAGAGTGTTTCTGGTTGTCCTTTCCCATTTTATTCTGCACACTGGGCCCAGAGTGACCTTTGAAAACACAAATAAGAGCACTGTGTGTTATTGGTGGCCGTGTGCCAAGCCGTCTATGTGCATTTTCTCATTTAATCCTAACACTGCCACCTGAGGAAGACATTATTCTCCCCCAGCTCCCTCTGCCTTTTTTTTCTAAAAATGGATTTAGAAACGCAAAAGTGTTTTGTCCAAGACCTCACGAGTTGGGACTTAGATGGAGACCTGACTCCAAGCCACCTTCTTAACCAAGTGAAGCTGCCTCTTGTAGAAGAGACGGTCCTTCCACTCCCGCACAGGGTGATGGGACAGTCTTTGGAAAGGCTTCCGTGTGTCCCCACCCCCTCCTCTGCCTCACATGCCCACCTACCCACTGTCCCCTCTGCTAGAGACCTAAGCCACCTAAGAGCACATTTGCTCTCCTGCCTAGAAAATTCTTCCTCATGTTCGGGACTCTGTAGGACATGTTCAGGACACCTGCTCACAGGCCTGCCTGTCACCACCCCGTGAGGGTGGCTAATGTCTCTTGCAGCCCTATCTTTCCTCGCTTTAGCTCGCCATGCACCATGGCACCAACAGACATTGCCTCCTTAGGCCACTCAGGGACACAGTGTATCAGCCGGTGCTATGACATCTTGGACCTGTACATTGTAGGACGTTCATCAACATCACTGGCTTCTACCCATGGGGTCCTAATAGCACCTCTGCTCCTGACAAAATCATGGCAACTAGAAATGTGTCCAGACATTGCCATATGTCCCCGGAGTGGGGAGTATGGCAAAGTCACCCCAATTGAAAACCCTTTCTCCCTTTGTCTCTCTCACTATACTAGGGATTGAACCCAGGGGTGCTCTGCCACTGAGCTACATTCCCAATCCCCCCCCACCCCATTTTTTTTTTAAATTTAGAGATCAGGTCTCTAGGTTGCTCAGGCTGGCCTGGAAGTTGCCATCCTCCTGCCGCAGCCTCTGGTGCCACTGGGTGAGGACCCTTTAGAGAGCCCTCTAGAGCGGCAGGAGCGTGACTTTCATGTTCACTGCCACATACGAGGGTCCTGGTTCCGTGCTGGGCACACAGTGGGTGCTCTATTCATGGGAGAAAGGAAGGAGTGAGGTGTGCCAGCTCCACGCTGTGTCGTGAGAGAAGCAGAAGGACAGAGACCTTCCTCAGGGCTTCCCAGTGTTCTGTTCTCACAACTTCCCGGGTGTTGGTGACCTCCTTAGCCCTTTCAGCCATGTTGGGAGGTAACTCCATACAAAGGCCAGGGGAAGGGCAGAGGGCGGCGGCCCCCCTGTCATCAGCCAGTCTGAGGGCAGACCGATTTCTAAAATTCACAGTGCAGGTCACCTAGCCACACGCTCTACTGCCCTCCGATGTTTGATCCGGACTTTGAGGCTCTTTCCACCTAAATATGGAACTTTCTTTTCTCGGCTCACCTTGTTCTCAGCAGTCCGGGTCCCAGTCCCCCAGTCCTGCCCTTCACCACCTCCTCTCTGCCTCTGTTGGACGTCTTCCTAAAGAGTTGAATTTCAAACTCAGCATCTTCTGCTTTCATCTGTGAAAGTGGATCTGAGGGGTTTTGTTCCCGAGAGACCCAGAGACAACACCTAGGAGACCAGGATTCACTCTCGCCATCTCCTCTAGGAGTCATGTCCCTTCCTGGCTGATGGACCTCGCCAAATCTATTTGCACACAGGGAATGCAAAGGAATTGCACCAAGGACGCACAGGATGTGGGAATCTCCGAGCTCAGACTCGCTTTCCTGCTCCATCCTAGCCACATGCTTTATTGCCCATCAATGTTCGATCCATACTTTGAGGCTCTTCTCACCTAAATATGGAATTTTCTGTAACTGCTGTAACACATTCCCACACACACACACAAAAATAATGGATTCCCTCACAGTCCTGCAGGCCAGAAATCAGAAATCAAGGGATGGCAGGGCCACGTCCCCTCTGAAGGCACTGAAGATAAACGTTCCTTGCCTGGTTCAACTTCAGTGGCCTCCTGCAGCCCTGGCCTTCCTTGAGTTGTGGCCACACTACTCCGATCTCTGCCTCCATCTTCTCCTCTCCTTCTTTGAGTCTGTCCCCAAATTCCCTCTGCTGCTCTCTTATAAGGACACCTGTGATTGTGACCCAGGCCCACCTGGGTAATCCTGGAGGTGTCTGTTCTCTTTAGATCCTGAATCATATCTTTTGACATATAAATTCATTCTCCTAAATCCTAGGATTAGGATGAGGACATTTATGTTTGGGGACCACCATGCAGCCTATTTCATTGATCCAGAGACAAATGCAGTCCTAGCACAGAGCCCTCCAGAATGGGCAGCTGGAACTGGTCTCAGGTAGGCCCGTGAGGCAGTGACGGTTATAGCAGGTGGTCTTCCATTTCAGATATTGGAAGGTTCACCTGGAATGGTACGTCATAATGTTATGACCACAGAAGCCAAAGGCCAGCCATCTATATGTCTTTATTTTTCCTTGGGATTCTGCAAGTCCCGCTCTTCAACCCCCGAGTTAGAAAACCACAGAAATCTAGCTGTGGAAGACACATGCTCATGGCCCAGGGACACTGTGACCCCTCCATGGCGATTCATTTGACCTTAATGGCTCTCTGAAAATGATTTCCCCTGTTGGGGAGCCGCAGCCCTGGCTAAGATGCTTCTGTGGAGTAGAAGTGGGTTTTTAATTAAAGCTCTTTGGAATGCAACTAAGGTGTAGCCTAAGCGTCTCTGTGAACAGTGCCCAAGGTAAGTGCCGCAGACCAGAGCTGGGATCACGAGTGAACAGGGAGGGCCTTGGACTCGATTTCCTGAGGAATGCCCATCTGAGGTTGGCCTCTGGTCTCCCACCCCAGGTCTGGTTTACCATCCCCAGGTTGGGGCGCTGGCCAAGACCTGCCAGGAGCTCTGGCATGCTGTGGCTTTGACAGGTAGCACTGTTAAGTTCTGGCTTTAAACCTGGCTTTTTTAAAAGCTAGCATCTTGCAAGTACATTTGATGTAGCTTCCAGTAAGCACCTTCCTTCATTCATTCGACAACTATTTCTTAGGCATTTATTTTTACCAGCTGCAGTTTCAGGCACTGGCACAAAGTGTGAAAACAGGTTGGCCCCCCATTTTGCCCTCTGAGTTCAATCCTGTACCATAGTACAAAATGCAACTTAAAAAAAATGAGTTTATGCAAGGATAATATTATTTACTAAGCACAAATCATATGCCAAGTGTATTTGTCAGCTAGTTCTGCAATAATGCTGCGTAAAGAGCAGCCTAACATCAGGAGTTTACAAGAACAAGCATTTCTCTTTCTTGTGAAGTTGAGTGGCTTTCACAAAAGCACATATATGGGGAGACTGAGGCTGATTTGAACCTAGAAACCTGACTCAGGAGCCTGTGTGGCTAAAGGCCATTCTGTATTTCTTATGACAAAAACACAGCATCTGCCCGGTTAGTGAGAGGCTGTGGGGGCGATGACGGGGAGGGCTATTGGAGCCAAGCCCTTGGGAGAGGCTTTTATTATGAGACCACAAGGTGTACTTGCATCCACTGTGTGCAGAAGGTTTTGTTTTGGTTTGGTTTCTCATGCTGGTATATAATAATAAAGACAAGTGATAGTTACTTAGAGTAATTTTGGACTCAGCACCAGAAGTTAGAGAATCTTAGAAATCAGAAGAATATTAAATGTATATGAATAATTATTATGGTATCGTACATTCAAATTAAATAGTGTTTCAAATTATGGGTTGCAACCTATGGATAGGTCAGGAGAGCAATTCAATGAACCTAGGCCAGCATTGTAAAGATATAAGAATGAAATGGAACACAGATTGTATTGTTGTATGTGTGT